TCCCAAGACAAGTTATGGTGGTGGCTTACAGAATTAAAATTGGTGACAAAGAAAATGAAATGGGTATAGTGAAACCAGTCTGTCAAAAGCCTTGAATAAAGGCTGGCACCTGTGCCCCATGCCTGTAATCCTAGCTACTCAGGAGGCTGAAATCTGAGGATTGCGGTTGGAAGCAAATCAGGGCAGGAAAGTCTATGAGACTCTTATTCTCCAATTAACCACCAGAAAACTGGAAGTAGCATTGTGGCTCAAATTGGTTTAGTGCTAGCTTTGAGCACAAAAGCCCAAGGACAACACCCAGACCCTGAGTTCAAGAGCAACAAAAAAAAAGAAAAAGCCTTGAATGATATACCAAAATGTCTGGATTTAAGCCCAGAGAAAAATATCATAGCTGAATCCCATATCTCTAAAATTACTTGTGAATTTATTCATTATGCCTTTCTTGAATCACCCTGAATGACTCGTAGCTATTTTCTGCACCAATCCACCTTAACATAAGTAATATCAACATGGGCACATTAATGGTCTATCTATCTAGTCGTACTAAGAGATATCTTATAAAATGCTAAGGTTGACTCCCATGATATTATCTATAGTTAGGAACAAACCTCAAATATCTCTAAAATGCCTAGTAAATTCTTACTAACCTACCCATAGTTCAGACTATCATCTAAAGCAATGAGTTGAATGACATAGAATATTTGTTTCCTTCCCAAAATAATTTTTCAAGCATTAAAAATATCTCATACTTAACACTGTGTCTGGAAAATAGACTTTATGTTTATTGAACTTAAATTCTAAATCACACCAACATATTAACCATATTCATTTCATGGTTTGGAAGCCTTTGATCATATTTCTCTCTCCACAGTTCTTTCCACAGCAACAGAACAACTAGAAAATCTCTCTTTTTGACCAATTTCATTGGGTTTCTGTGACTTTTTTTAAATCAGTTATTAGGTTTTCCTTGAGAATCAGACACCAGAATTTTCTGTAGGTGAAAATCTACTTTTGATCTTTTACGTGGAAAAGACATAGGCTTTGTTTTGTTACTGCTGTTATTGACAGTTAAAGATGTTTGTACATAGGCTCTCACATTTGTTAAGCAAGCAATTAATCCCCAGCCCAAGCCTGTTGTTCACACCTTTCCAAGTCTAGTCACCTTGTTTTTGCTCTCAGAGCAATATCATGACTAGACCTGCTTTGCTATAGACTGATCCACCATGATTTTTAATTTTATTTTTATATTCGTTTTATGTGTATACCAGTATTGGGGCTTGAACTCAGGACCTGGGTGCTATCTTATTTGCTCTTTTGCTCAAGGCTGGCACTCTACCACTTGAGCCACAGCTCCAGTTCTAGCTTTCTGGTAGTTAACTGGAGATAAGAGTCTCATGCACTTCCCTGCCTGGACTGGTTTTGAACAACAATCATCAGATCTCAGCCTCTCCTGAGTAGCTAGGATTACAGGCATGAGCCACCAGTGGCTGGTATCATTTTTACATACCTTAATTGTCTAATTTAGACACTAAAGCTATGTTTGTATCTGAATACAGCCACTTAGCTCCTCCCACTGAAGGTAGTCATAATTCCAAAAGGTCTGATATAAACTCACTTTTTATCATCAGCAACTATGTCTCCATTTGTGAGACTTTTCTAATATTTTCTGAGGAGAATTTTTGCTGATTTTACTACTTTATGTCTTCACCACCCTAACTTCCTTCTTTATCCTGTTTTACTTTTTTTTAAAGTCTGATATGTATATACCTACAGTGATTCTAAGTCCCTCAAGAAAGGGATCTCATAAGAATAAATGTAGCTCGGTGCCAGTGGTTCATGCCTATAATCCTAGCTACTCAGGAAGCTGAGATCTGAGGATCATGGTTCAAAGCCAGCCCAGGCAAAAAGTCCCCATGAGACTCTTATCTCCAATAAACTGCTAAAAATCAGGAAGTGGCACTATGTGGCTCAAAAGGTAGAGCACTAGCCTTAAGCACAAAGAGACTCAGGGACAGCACCTAGGCCTTGAGTTCAAGCCCCATACCAAGGGGGAAAAAAGAATAAATGTAGTTTTAGTTGGCCTAACTGTGACCTTACACAATGTAGTGCCTCTGACTACTATGCTTACCAGGTTTCATGAGCTCTTTCTGAAGTTTATTCTCATCAGCTTGACTTCACTCCATAGAGGTAAGCTGGTGAGAAACCTGAATGAATTGCCCATTGGAGGGTGCACCTTCTTTTTCATCCTTCCTTCCATCCTTCCTTCCTTCCTTCTTTCCTTACTTCCTTTTTCCTTCTTTAAGTAGTTGTACAAAGAAATTCCAATTCAACATGTCAGTATGTGGGTACAATGCATCTGGATCACTGTCACCCCTTCCATTGTTCTCCCTCATCTCTCCCAACTCCCTCCAACACCTCGTTACCTGCTTCCATTTCCACACATGTATATTGAATATTATGACTATATTCACACACTCTTCCTCTCCCATTCATCTGCTGGAGGGTGTACTTTGTATCTTTTTTTCTCTCTAAGAGTTGCTGTAACAGCAGCTGTTGTGTTGAAAAACTAAAATATAAAAATATGACCTATGTGGACAAATCATACAAAACTTTACTTCCTTAATTATGAATCAGAATCTGTCAGCACAACTTAGAATTTTGACTGTCAGCAGATACTGCAATCAAATGCCTCTGCAAAACCAGCAGAGGGTGCACCAGGGCACTAGAAATTTTACCCAAGATGTAGCAGTATTAACTCAACTCTAACAGCCAATCAATATTTTCTTTATTCAGATTATTTATTTATTATATACTAAAACTAGTATCTTGAAGAGATACTTAAGTTGAATTTGGACTAAAAATTCACTTAAAGTATTATTCCATTTCTCCTGAAAGTCAAGTTCAGGAAAAATGAGGAACTCATATTTAGTCTGGTCAAAATGTAGGGAGGATAGGACAAGATAAGCCTTTTACTTCCTAAAACTTTTACTAGGGAGCTCTGTACTGTCACTTCCAAAAGCCTCAGCAGGTAGGCTGCTATGATAGAACAGGCATTGAACTAAGAATTACGAAAGCAAGTCCATTCTATTTTTTACTCTTAGGCAAGTCACTTCCCCCTTAGGGCCTATGCATTCTGCAAGGGAATCCACAAAATGTATTAAAATGGCCCTTACAGTAACAACAACAAATCTCTATTTCAAAATCAATGCCAAGAAATATAAAGAGCCAGTGTCGTTTAAATGTAAAGAGCCACTGTTGCTTAAAAAGACTAAAACAGAAAGAGTAAAGGACAGAAGATAAGCTTTGGTTAAATGTAGACAGAAGTATTTTAGGGCTAGGCAAAGGGCAGGCCACTAAATGCCATAACAGACGTTTAAGAATCCCATGGCATCACAGAAGCCCCAGAGTACAGCTGTCCTGCTAATCCTCAGTCTATAAACATGGGTCTCTCCATCTTAAATGCCAAAGTCTTGGCCATCATTTGACTAAAGACCTTGAATTCTCTTATATTTGCACAGAATATCAATGTGCAGCTAGTAAGTATTTCTACTAGACATTGGGAAACAGATAAAGGAACCAGAACCCTAGCTAAGTATCATGTAGTTACAGTGTTTAAAGTTTCAAGTATGAGAAGCATGTCTGCTGATTCTCTTCTTTGATAAGCTGTTATATAAGTTGGAGTGTGCTCACAAGACATTTTTAGGCTCTGGATAACTTTACAATGCACAATGTAGAAAAGAAAAGTTGTCAGCCCTTACATTAATATTGTTATTATCATGAACGTGTTGCCTGTGTCAAGTGTATAACTTTGGATAGGAGGTCAGCACAGAACAGATGAAGTTTAAAGAGTTATGACAACGACTGTGGATATGGTAGTAAATATAATAAACTTGAGTCCCTCACCTCAGGAACTTTTATTTGGACATTTTGCCTCTTCTCCAAAAGGTGCAAATTCACTCTTACACTTTCATCACCTCTAAAGGATGGTGGCTGCCTCTCCTAACTTTCACATAAGTAACAAAATATGGCAGTCGAGACAATACTTACATTAAGTGCACTCAATGTACTTGAAGAAAGGGCTAGAAAAAAAGTTGAAAGCTAATAGTTTTGTAAAAGGGTTGAAACAGCATAAAGATCCTCCCCCCCCAAAAAAAATAAACTAATATTGGGAGCCAACTCTAAGTGATCAGTCCATCAAGAGCTTCCTGTTGTAAGCTAGCAGTAATGAAAATGCTTCCTGTGCACCTTTCACAGGGCAACCTCACCCGCCCTCCGAGGGAGAAAAAGGAGGGGGGGGGTCAGGACCGGCATGCAAAGGGTGAGTTTTTATTTCCATAGATTTTTGAAATTGCTGTTCAGAAGTTGTCTAGCAAGACGGCATTTTTCTACCAGAATTCCTCAGGGGCGCTGATCCTCACTCGAACGTCGAGGACAATCAGTGTCAAGTTGCAGGTAAAGTGTGAACAAGCCCATGTTGTGGTCAGCGCCCAAGGACCCCGAGGAGAGCGCGCTTAGAAGTTGTTGGAACAGGCGTGGAGCAGTTCCTACAGCTGTTTACAGCCCAACTCCAAAGGGGAGCCTGCGAGTGCTGGCACCAGCTCCGGACACGAAAAAACAAGCGCCTCGGCAGAAGTACAACACCTCCCCAGGAGCACGAGGGCCCAGCTCCTTGCCGTTAGTCGGCCAGGGAGCCAGCGCGGGCACCTCCTCGCCCTGCCGGCGCGGGACGGTTGCCAACTTTCTCCAAGCAGCCCAGAGCCGAGGGCGGCGGGCGAAGGGAACAGTTTGCAACTTCAGAAGACTGGAGAGCGTCCCGATGAGCCCAGAAGGGGACCAAAGACAACCTGCCTCGGACAATCTCCCTCTCTGGCTCGCCCGCCACCGCCCTGCTCACATCCTGTAACGCGGATCCCAGTGACTTAGTCCCTCCCCCACCCCCCCGGCCCCAGCCCTACCTACTAGGGGAGGGGGGTCGCCACCTCCCGGACTAGGTGACTCACCTGGTGCCGGTCCTGGGAGTCAGGGGCGAGTGTGGTTTCACCTGGTTCCAACGGCTGCTGCTCAGGTGACGGCCCGAGGTGGTGAGTGATGGGACCATTGGGGTCGAGGCCACTAGGGTTGCTCAGGGTGCCAGAGGTGCCAGGGGTGCCCAAGCCGCTAAGGCGGGACTCGGCACCCCGTTCCCGCCTCAATTCAGACCTCAACTCTAGGTAGCAACACAACGTCAGCAGGTGGAGGGCCAGCGAGAGGCCAAAGAAACCCAGGAAGAGCCGGCAGCTGTTCCCTTCGGCTGCCCGGGCAGGGGCCCCGCGACAGCCGCAGCCCTGGCTCCCCTGCTCCCGTGGCGGTGGCGCTGCCGCTGCCGCTGCCGCAGGCAAGGATTCCCTGCGCTCTACCTCGGGGTAGCCCATGGCCTCCGGAGACACCCAATCTCTGAGGCCAGGGAGCCGCTTCGTCTGCCTCAGCCTTTCACGACCCCTGACAGGCGGCTACTGTCCTGCCATCGGCTGGGGGCTGCAGGGACCCGTTCCTGCGCGACTGTGGCTGGGCGGGACGGAACAGGGAGCAGCCGCATGTGCAGCTTCACTCCGAGGGGTGGGAAAGGGAGGAGGAGGGGCTGGAGAGAGGGGCGGTTCGGCCCGCGAGGGAATGAGGGAGGAGGTCCCGGTCGACCCCGCCCCATCCCTCCAGTGGCCGCTGGGACGCCCAACCACTGGGCCCGCCAAGCCTAAGTGCCCCGCCCCCAGCCGTTCCGCCCGCACTCCGCCGCGGGGCGGGGCCTGGGGGCGTGAGGGTTCGCCTTTGCCTGGCAGCCCCACCCAGCTCTTCCCGCTTACCCCGCTCCAGTTGGTGACTATTGCTGTCCTTCATGTCTCGACTCCGCCCCAGTTTAACTCCTCAGCGCCAGGAAGGGGAGGGGGGGAGGGAGGGAGTCTGAGAAGAATTTGGGAACCTTGGAAAGAAAGTAGAGCAAAGAAAAGGAGGCAGAAACTAGCAGTAATAGAAATGTTTGCAATTAACTGCAGTCGCTAATAACATCATCCAGTACTTATCTGTTGCTTTCAATCTTCAAAGCGTTTAACAGACGTTAAACTAATTAAAACAGTTCTAGTTTTGGAATGAAACCATGCCTGCTGTGTTTGCAATCCAATGGCTCACCAAAAGAAAAGGAGCCCTAAGAACCTAGGAATTCAAAGGGACTGGAAATCAGGCAGCTTCACCCCTGGAGTGAGTCTGGGGACTCATTCTAACTCACAGAGGTGCTGCTGCCTAACAGAACTGGTTATGTTACCCCCTGAAGGGCAAAACAGTTTCCTGGGTTTCTTGGTATTTAATTCAACACATACTTACTGATAGTTTTTGCAGGGCACAGACTGCTGTTGATAGAATCCACAACCATAATAGTTTCTCTTCTTCAACTGCTGCAGGGATTCTCAGTGGAGAACACGGTGCCTTCAAGAAGACAGTGCAGAAACTGAGGGCGACAGTGAGATGTTTTTTGACAAGGGTGGTCCAAAGAATAGCCAGACACTATTGGCATCTCTATTTGCAGGCAACTGTTCTGGCCTCTCCACCCCTCCCATGCTTCCCCTGGAGTACTCCCTGGGGGAAGTTCAACAAGTCAGCCAAAAGTTCCAGATGTACACTGCTGTAACTGCAGCATCTTCAACAGCTGCACCAATCAGAAATGGATTCAGAACAAAAAAAAGTGGCAAATGTCAGAACAATAGACCCTGAAATAAAGGATGGAAAGGATTAGTTGAGTCAAGAGTTACAACTGACAAGAGTTACCAGTCTGAAATTTTAGAGATCTAAATGATTGAAGCAGAGCAAGCATACACATTGCTTAACTAATCTTGTTCCCATGTTACTAACACAATTTTCTTGACTTGGAGCAGGCATCTTAAGAACCACCAAGGAGACAGATTCAGTAATGCCCAGAGCACTTACAGGTAGGCCTATGACCTAGACCAGTGAGAGAGAAGGAAAGCAAAGAGTAAGTAGAAAAAATGACAGAAGAAGAGAAACAAAATACAACAAAAGCATATGTCAGAAGGTCAGTCCAGAGAGCACAGAGGTCACAAGCCTTAAATATATTAGCCACAGACTTTACTACTCTCTGTGCGTGATCTCAGTGATTCCAAAACATCTTTTTTGTTCTGTCTTTAAACTGTATCCATGCAATTGAATGTTTGCAAAGAATACCAACATCATACATATACGGAAGAAAATAAAAAGGTTCATAACTGCTGCTCTCAAGTCCTGCTTGTCCAGACCAGGAATCCTAGATGCTAGGAAAACTGCCACAAATATCAGAGCTCGGGATTATTGGAAAGAACACTAGGCCAGGAGCCAGAAGACCTGACTCTGCCACTAGTTTACTGGGTCACTGTGAGCAAGGCACTGTTGGTCTTTTTTGTGCGGGGGGAGGAGGGGAGGCTTAGTTTCTGCAAGTTGTCAAAAGAAGAGTTTTAAGAGTAACTGCTATTACATCATCACTGGCTATGTTGACTTTGTTGCATACATAATTTGAAGAGGCTACCCTTTCTTCCTCTGATGGTGCTAGCAATGCTTAGGGGACTACTGGTCTCAGTTTTTCACTTTCTACCATGCTTTCAACAGCTGAAGTGAGACTTAGGTTATATCATTGCCCCATTGAAGCCTTGGACATTATATTTGACCCAGAACCTCACTTTGGTCTCCCAAGGAAAAATATATAGCTTCATATATAGTAGAAATGTTACAGTGTGGCAATCAAGTAAAGAATGTAAATGGTTATTTTCTCTGTGTGTCCTTGGACCTCACCCAAGCTAGGTGAGTGCTCTACCACTAAGGTATACCCTAGTCTGTGATTTTTCTTTTAAATGTTTAAGCTCTTGAAAGTGTTAAATTGCTTCCATTTCTGTCCCGTAAGTGCTTATCCTCTATAGGACAAGTCTCAGAATGATAGCCTGCAGGCCATATCAAGCAAACATGTGTGTTGGGCACAATAGTCCCTAAAAGTTTGAATTAAAAAACTTCAGTTGCCAGTATTCAGAAATCTGGACATTTCCCATTTTCAATATTGTATATTTTTACCAGGCACTGCTGGCTCATGCTTGTAATGCTAGCTATTCAGAAGGCTGAAAGGCTAAGGCTAATAATGGTTTGAAGCCTACCTGGGCAAAACAGTCTGTGAGATTCTTATCTCCAATTAACTAGCAATAATCCAAAAGTAGAGCTGTAGATCAAGTGGTAGAGCACCAGCCTTGGCTGAAAAAGTTCAATGACAGCACCCAGACCCTTAGTACAAGCCCTAGTACTGGCATCAAAAACGTAGATTTTTCTGCTCTTTCTATAAAAACATCAGAAAACTTTCTCACACTGGATCTACATTCTAATGTTGGTATATCCATCAAGAACTACTCCCCTTCAGATGAACTTAAGAATCAAGTTCTATATAGCCATCCTCGTCTCTTTCCTCTGGTCTCCAATACTGTCCTACTTACTCAGTTGCCTTACCTCTCTGACCCACTGCTGTACAAGTAATAAAGTTATAGCTACTAGGAAAACCTCTAATCTGCTTCTCCAACATATTTTGCATCATCCTACAAAGAAGCTATCCTCACATCCTACACAATTCACAGACCTCTGTACATTTGCACAAGCTAGTTCCTTTGCCAGGAATGCCCCCGCTTTAAAATCATAAATTCTTTAAGAATTCCTTCTCTTGGTCTTTGGTATGTCCCCACAACACTCCAAATTCATTTTTCCTTTATGCCTTCATTTGCTACCTGAGCATACCTTAATAGAATCACTTACCACCTTGTATTTTGAATATTTCACATGGGTTTCTCTCTGCTAAACTGAACTTCTTAATGGCAAGAACTATTCTTTTTTCCATTTTAGTCGTCCTACTGCCTAGCACAACATTTAACACACAGTAGGCACCAGAATGATTGTTAGATGAATAGATCATCAATTTGGCCACAATAACCTAGACTACATATATATTTCTTTAAGTGTGCCAATGAATACCTGTCAGTACCACTAATGAACACATTATGGAAAGATATAAAAGACTTAGAACCAAGGGGCTGGGAAGATGGCTCAGTGGTAGAGCGCTTGCCTTGCATGCCTAAGGCCCTGGGTTCGATTCCTCAGCACCACATAAGCAAAAAGATAAAAGCCGGAAGTGGCACTGTGGCTCAAGTGGTAGAGCGCTAGCCTTGAGCTGAAGAGCTGAGGGACAGCGCCCAGGCCCAGAGTTCAGGCCTCACGACCGGACCAAAAAAAAAAAAAAAAGACTTAGAACCAAATGAAAGAACTGACAGTATAGCTCAAGTGATAAGATATTTGCCTAATGTGTGTAAGGCCTTGAGTTCAAATCCCAGTGAATGCTGCCAAAAAATAATACGGTATAATTTCTCCTTTATTTATGCTATTATAATATTGGCAGATATTTCAGAAATGTAAATAATCTACAAACTCAAAAATATCTGGTTTATAGTACATCATTGGCCTTTCTTTTTTATCAAGTAGCCTTTCTACTTTTGTTTAATTGAGCCTACTATTAAAATATTTTGAATTGACAGCCCCTAAATAACAAATGTCCACAATAAGTTAAGTCAAGTGTGCTGATAAACACCTGATTGCAGCTAGCTGGGAAGCTGAGGCAAGAAAATCACTAGAGGAAGATCCTGGACTCAAGATTAGCCTAGACAACATAGCAAAACCCTGTCTCAAAAAGGAAAAGTTCACAATCCCTGAATACGCACTAATCAAGAGGTGTATGCTAAGGATTTTGGCAAAGACTGGTATTAAAATACCTTTTTGCTATTTCTAATGTACAAAATAATTGACATACAGATCGAAAAGATAACTCTAATTGACTTAGTGGTGAGAAGATAGTGGGGAGGGGCATGGATCCTGTTTTAAGTGTCAGTTTATTAACTTACTAAGTCACAGACTTAGGGTACAAGTGCTAAGCTAAGACACAGTTATGACTTTTGCCTCTCCTGCAGATCCTCAGTTTCCACATATGTAAAATGGGAATGACAATAAATATTTTCCTAAGACAGCTGTTCTTGAATGGGATACATAGAGAGTGAAGACTTTACCTCTTAAGTCTCTCAACAACTGAGACTATGAAATAAACTGACAATGGGCAGATTCACAGGGGCACCACATGAAAGAAAACTGAATGCCAAACCCTAGTGAGCTCTAGAAACTTTTTTTCCATCCTCCTCAAAGGGGAGAGAGAAGAAGACAGGCAACTAGGAAGAGAGTAAAGGATTTTTAGGAAAGATTAATGGACCTTCAGAAGAAAAGGTGACACTCTGTGACAAAGTTTATAGATGTGGTTCTGAGCTCCAGTTTCCTCTCCTGTGATAAGAGTTGATGACATTCTTACAAAGGGGATTCATGACAATTTAGTTCCATTTGGAGGATCTGCTTTTCCGTAGAAAAGAGAAGTTCAGAGAAAAACCCTCACTGCATTTGCTGGTCCCCAAGTGCCCTCTGTTTGAAGTCCAAAGTGGCATATTTGGGGTGGCATTTCCTGAACTCCTATATATCAAAGTGTCTGGCACATAATAAATGAAGTG